GTAAATAGTATTTCTAATTGAAAAACATGCTGATTTCTGAAGGTCATAAACATATTTGCCCTTTAGCTGCCAAATCGAATGAAATTGAAAATATTTTAAATCTCTCCTATATAGGAAACTTGGTTGAATCCAGGAATTACGAATGATATAGTGTATTTTCCTGGCTATGACATTATCAGGAAAGATCGAGCCTATAAACGTGTTGAGAGAGCTATCAACTCCAAAATAATTACTTCTGAGAATTGAGCAGTGGCCAGTGGCCGGAAATCAAGTTTAAAAAAGAGAAATGACATCGTTTTATGTTACATAACACCAAAAGGCTGCTCTGAAGATTTCTTCAATAGTTTCTAGGATACTGTGTATAACGTCAATTNAATCGTACATTAACCTTCAGCATGTGTTGGGCATATGCGGCTAAAATTTTCATGGATGTGAAATGATTTATTTGTAGAACATATTATCTGAAAGAACAATTCGTTCAGGTCAGTCTCAACTCACCTACACTGTAAGTTAATGGACTAACACCTATTAGAAAACAACTACTCCCCTGACTAATACCACAAAGGGCGTTAGATTATATTCGACTGGTGTCAGTACAGGAATCTTCACTGAAGTTATTCCTGGATATGCTGTTGGCCATACAACTGCTGGAACCGACTTTCAATAATTGGAACACACTTGGTGTCCAACATCAACATGAAGTCGATGATTTCCCATAAGTAAAAATAGAATTTCTTCCAGAGTATCATTCCTCGAAGTAGGCTGAAGCTAACGATAAACAACATAGTTGTCAAACTGTTCTGAACGAATTGTTATTTTAGATAATTTGATTTACAACCAGTTTTCAAGTATGCCTCCTTACATGTGAAGTTTTTTTTCTTATACGAGTATTTGAGAGATTCGGATATGCGGTTGGTAACCTCTTTCACGAGCAGATGGGGCGATGACAAATATGTTTTGGTTGTTTTCAGTCGATACGTCAAGAAGAGTACTTCCACCACGCCTCAGTTACAATTGAAACGTTTGGAGATTGTAACCAAAGAAAGTCATGGCAAAACTCAAAAACCAACACAAACATTGATGCCAGCCGTGAAAGACTACATTCCTATATTAGGAATTCGATTTTCAAGCATGGGAAATCATCAACTTCATGTTGATGATGGATATAACCTTGCACTGATGAGTGGCCAAATAAACCGAAACCAACGCCCTTCGTAGTATTAGCCAGGGGTGAAGTTGTTTTCTGATAAGTGTCAGCCCATAAACATACTGTGTAGGTGAGTTGAGACTGGCCTGAACGAATTGATCTTTTAGGTTTCCAGGTTTTTGGTCGCAGACTGCAGGCTCTTTGCCTGAAGGTTCGAATAGACCTTCTAGGGCTACGCTTCGTTCATATCGGTCAATATTTGTTTTAATTTGTTCAACTGACTGATTCGCTTGTCTTGGTTTGATTAGAGTGTGCCAGGATGTAATGAAGTATTCAGCTCAATTCTTGAATAGTGTTGACCAGTAGATATAAGATCATCGCCGTTCCCGGCCAATGAACTGATTGTCCAGATATTAGCTACCAATGAAATTTGCTACGTGTACCTGATAGATATGGCATTCCAGGATAAGCTGAGATCCGATATCACTCGATAGTGACCAACCGTCACGGGTCTTGAGCGTGTTAAACGTTGATTGATGTATAAACTTCTGAGGAAGCTAGCCTTTCGCGCCAGCGAAACGTTAGGAAAAATTCCAAAAATCGATGGTGTTCAAACCCGAAAAATAAAATTATATTCTATTGTATTCAAAATATAGTTGTTCTGATCTGTAAATAGTATTTCTAATTGAAAAACATGCTGATTTCTGAAGGTCATAAACATATTTGCCCTTTAGCTGCCAAATCGAATGAAATTGAAAATATTTTAAATCTCTCCTATATAGGAAACTTGGTTGAATCCAGGAATTACGAATGATATAGTGTATTTTCCTGGCTATGACATTATCAGGAAAGATCGAGCCTATAAACGTGTTGAGAGAGCTATCAACTCCAAAATAATTACTTCTGAGAATTGAGCACTTTCTACAACACCAGTGGCCGGAAATCAAGTTTAAAAAAGAGAAATGACATCGTTTTATGTTACATTACACCAGAAGGCGGTTCTGAAGATTTCTTCAATAGTTTCTAGGATACTGTGTATAACGTCAATTAGAATTAGATAATATTCTTCGGAGACTTCTATATAGATTATTTTGATATATATTCAATCCAACACTCTGACTTCGTGTCCATCACAATATCTTTGAATCTATGACAGGATATTTCAGAACAATCTCACTTTTCATATATTGTAATGTCCTTGAAATCCAAAAAAACTCCCGGTGATGACTCAATTACAGCTGAAACTCTCAAAAAAATTGTGACAGAGATATCAAAGCCATTGACATCTTTAATAAATAGTATATATCAAAAAGGTGTATTCCCTACAGCATTTAAACTGACAGTTATAACGCCACTATTTAAAAAAGGAGACGACCAACAAAATATTTTGATAAATATAATTTAATATCAAATAAACAATTTGGTTTTGGACCGAACAAAAGTTCTACTGATGCTATAGAGCAGCTTACTGTAAATCTTTACAAAGCAGTAGATGAAGGAAAAACATCACTTTTGTATTCCTATATCTTGCAAAGGCCTTCGATACTATTAGTCACAAACAATTGTTGGATGCACTGGAAGACTTAGGAATACGTGGCAAGACCTTAATTTTATTTCGAAGTTATCTTCAAGGTAGAACGCACGTTACTAATGTGAATGAGGTAATAAGTAATCAAGCATATGTTAATTATGGGGTTCCACAAGGCACTATATTAGGTCCTATATTGTTTTCAATGTATATAAATTACATACTGAATATTCAAACTGAAGGCAAACTTTTCAGTTATGCTGATGATACTGTCATACTGTATACCGCGCATAATTGGACTGCCCTCAAAAGTACCTACAACCGAAATCGAACTCGGGAAGATATTCAATATAATGGGCCACAAATTGTTTACAATTAATTTCGATAAAACTGTCTTCATACCCTTTTGTTGTTATAAAAATAATCTTCTATGTTATGATGAAATTAAAGTTCGAATAAGCGAAAGTGAAATAAAAGTAATAAAAGAAACTAACCATATCAAATATCTTGGTTAGATTCACACTTAAAATGGAATTACCATGCCAACATCCTGACAAACGTACTTAGGACACTACTGTATAATTTTAAATACTTGAAAACTATTCTATATTTATTACGCTCTGGTACAATCGCGCCTGCAATATGCAATTCTAGGATGGGGTAAAATTATTTACGGTAAAACAAGTACTTATCCATCTGATGATCTCTCTAAAGAATTCAAAATATTTGATATAAGACAATTGTATGTATACAGTTTACTTCAATATTTATATGAAAACCGAAGTAAGCTACAACTTATTACAAACCCTTATGAAACAAGAAGTATCCAACACGCAAACATTGAAATAACCTTTTGCTCAAGATCTCTTGGCCAAAAAAGTCATATTTATTTGAGTGCGAAATTATTCATTTATCTTCCTGATAATTATGAAACATATATAAGAATTCTCAACTCTGAACAACTATTCAAGAAATATTATTCTGTTATGTTAAATGTAGTATATACAATAATTACATTATTATTATTTATGAACATTAATAGGAAAAGTATAATTAGAACAACTGCTGATATTAATAGCTTGTGATGTTGAAGAGCCTTGTAATATATATGAACGAGCTGAGTTGACAATTTCATGGGCATTAACATTAACATGGGCTAGTGTTGGGGTTATTTTTTCAGCAATAGGCTTTTTATAAGAAATAGATTGATCGATGTAACCCTCAGCTACTGTTGTACACTTCCATCCTCCGTGCTTCTCAATATCAGCAATTCTGCTAGCAAAGAAGCAGAAGACCTTCTGAAATAGTGACCTTTGACGTCAGTGACGTACTATGTTTCATTCTCAATAATTAACTAGATTTGATAACTTCGCAGTAAGCAACATGAACTTTTACAAATAACTATCAGAAAACAATGTTTCTGCTAGGAATATTACACCAATAGGAATAGTTGAATGGTCTTGAAAAAAACAACTTGTTCGGCGTTAAGACCTGAAAAATTATCAATTTTCGGATCTTCCATTCTGAACACCCTGAAGTCAAAAATGTCTCAATTTGTGGTTTTATTTGGAAACCTTATTTCTACGGTTATTGTTGCGTTCTTAGAGTTGCTGTTTTTTCTTTCACTAGGTGCCGCTTTGTTGGAAGATTTACCACCTTAACATAATGAAATTGCTCATTTCCCAACTTCTCAGTTGAATACTGAACACGAACAAGAGATTGTTCTCTACCAGAGAATAATGTTCAACACACATTGGAACAAAATGGATGCGAAACAAGAACATTTCTCTACATATTATGACAGATAAATCGTTCATTAATTGAAGACATTCATCAATAGATGAATCATTGATTGTTCAAATTCCAATTAAAAAAATGAAAATAGGTAGTTCTTATTGCATTGTTAGAAAAACATTGACTATTTTAATAAATACGTTGCATTACGCCCTTCTGTTATCAATCATCAACGTTTTTTTCTGAAATACTCAAATTTTAATTGCAGTGCCAACTCAGTGGGTATAAACACGTTTAAGAAAATGCCCTCTAAAATTGCTGAGTTTCTGAACCTTCCGAAACCAAAGGAATATCCAGGTCACTGTTTCAGAAGGTCTTCTGTTTCTTTGCTAACAGAATCAGGAGCAAATATAACGGATATTGAGGTGATTCTAGACTTCTGGTGACTGATTCGAAAAATTTTTCTAGATATATATTGTTTTAGAAGTATCAAATTTATTGAAATTGGATTATTATTATTTCAACAGCATTTTGGAAATGAATGTTAATATTTTGTTACGGCATATAAATTTACCCTTTTTATTTTTTCAGTTGAACACCGAATGGGCGCAAGTAGAAGTTATAGATCTTATAAACGATGGTACGGGCTTAGCATTCGGAATCATAGGAGGCCGTAGCACAGGCGTTGTTGTTAAAACTATATTACCAGGAGGTGTGGCTGACAGGGTATGTATCATTTCAAAGGAGTTTATAGATGTGAGTTTCATCGTTAAATAATTTTACTGAACAAGATTTGAGAGTCTTTCTTTGAAAGGATCATATTCAGACAAGAAAAGATGTTTTCACACAAGTACAATAATTCGGAGTCACTTTCTAAATGGTTTAATATTGTGAAAAAAGTTAGTTCGAAAATCATTGAGTGGCTGATTGTAAGAGAATTTTGTACACCATACATTGATGCTTTTCATGTTTCCCAAATATTAATTTTTTTATATCTTTCCATCTTATTAGCTGCTTTTGAGAATCAGCTTCTGCAATTCCATCGTCATGACTGTGCCAAGACATATTGATGTCTATTTTTAACTCCCAACAAACTTATAAAAGCAGAAAGCGGAATTGTCTGACCTGACATTATTATATCCGGTTCGGAGACATTTATCTTCTTGGAGAAAACCGATGCCTGGGTTTTTGTGGCATTGAATTGAACCTGGTTAATTTCATCCCAATTCGAAATCACTTCTGGATCTTCATTAAGATGTCCTTGGATACAAATGTAATGACGAGATAAGTGTGCTGTCGTCAGCAATATATTGGATTCTTGGTTTTTCCCAATAAGTCGTTGATATACAATAAAAAGAGGATTGGAGACAATATGGATCCCTGGGGAGCACCAGCATTGATAGTGAAATTATTCGAGAGAGATATCCATCGACAGTTACTTGCAGGAAACGTTCTTTCAGAAATGATCTAACAAGCCATAGCATCAAAGTTTGGTCAGCACACTCTCATACCCTCCGAAGATTTCAGCCTCCAAGATGAGCCCCGAAGTGGATGACCTACAGTACTCTAGGACAAGAATTTGAGGACCCTGATGAAAGACTGATCCCTCACTAATGGTGCGTGTGATGGCGAAATAACTGGGCGTCAGCTCCCATGCGGTTTGAACGATTTAAATGATAGACAAAAATTGTCACGTTACGAGGTTTGTTCTTTATTTTCGTACAACCGAAACGATCCTTCTTGGATTGGATCGTCACGTGTGATGAAAAGTGTATCTTCTACGACAACAGGAGAGGTTCAGGACAATGGTCGGACACTGATGAGCCACCCAGAAACTACCCAAAGGTAAAAACTCATCAAAAATGAGTCGTGGTTACTGTATTGAGTCAGCGGTTAGTGTAATTCACAATAACTTTCTGCAACAGGGTACAATTTTTGGGGGTAAATCAACGAAATGGACCAGAAATTGTGCCAGCAGCAGCCGGCATTGGTCAACAGGAGGGCTACGATCCTGCTTCACGACAACGTTCGTCCGCACATTTCACACATCACCATCCAAAAATAAAACGAACTGAGCATCGAAATCACTCACCATACTATCACCTTTTCAAGCAGTTCAGTAAATTATTCACCGGTAGAACCTTCGTTAATCAGAACCAGGAAAAACGGCCTTCGTCGATCCATCGAATCCCGTGTACACAGTTTTTATACTGACAGAATTATTCGACTTGTATTACGTTGGTGCTAATTTCGAACAAATTAAATGAGTATTCAATGATATATTACAGTTTAAAGTAGACTCATGAAAACATAAAAACAGACAAACTCAAATATATCTATCCAGAAAGTAATTATTTATAATTTATTTTGAATAACTGTTTCAATTGTTAAAATTTACGTATTGCGGTCAACTGATCACGAACTCGGAATAAAAAAATAATATGTGGAATCTATAAACAAAAATTCATGTGACGTTTATTATTTTCAAACTCTGAAGCAAATAGAATTCAAGTGCCTACACATCTACCTACGAACACCACTGTAGTAGTCTGTTGGAAATGCAAGAAAATAATAACAGCAAGGGTGGAAAATGAAAATGAAAATGAAAATAAAACAGAAAGAATTAATTGATGTCAATTCAAGGTGTGGGAAAGAAATAACATGAATTTTAGGGATGGAAAACGATTTTTCACCAAAACTGGATCACGTATTGGAAAACGTTCGGATTTTTCTCTCCGTCAAAAATCCATAACTTTGAAATACACTTACCTTATTTTATTTTAAATAAGCTATGATTTGTTGAATAAAAGTATTCAACATTTTGTTTTGTTGTTAAATCTAAAAATCCCCATCCTCATAATTTTCACAACTTACAGTAGTTGCCTTCTCTCATTTCAGCCTGATGTGAAACAAAAGATATTTGACTGTTTTTTACATTTTCTGGCAATTTTATCCACTATCTGAAAGATGTGTCAACAAAAAATACTACTAAATAGTCAGACCATTTAGTTTGAACATGAAAATGGGTGAAATGAAAAATAGTGTTTGAAAATCTGATTAATATCTGTTTTTCCGTTAACCAGATGTCGCCCCTCTACGAACAACAACCCTCAGAAGTTGAAACTTGTGCGAGCTGAGGATTAACGAGGTCTCACCTTTTAACGTGTGATTCCTAACACGGAATGTAAATAAATAATTAGTATTTTCGGGATATGAAAAGTGAAAAATTTCATGAAAAAGAAATAGTTTTCGTAAAAAAAATGAAATTGAAGAAGTATATTTTTTTAAGAAATTAGTTTTTGGAAAGAAAGGTTTGCGTTTTCTACTTCTACATCTTCATACAAAACTGAGGAAAACTGATAATGAAATCAATTGCTTTCTTTTTTCGGAAGTTTTTCTAATTTTGTGTATAAAGATGGAAAAATAGACAGCCAGAACCTTTCTTCCCAAAAAAATTATTGTTTTGGGAAAATTTGAAAATCACCTGAAAGTTCAGCCCGTATTTTTCCTTTCTATTTGAATCGACTTTTGAAAAATTCATTCTTTCCGTTATAGTCACAGTATTTCCTATTCATCACGACAACTTTCGTGCTATATCAGTTTTTATGATTTTTTTTCTACTTTTTTCTATTGATATGTTACTGTCAACACTCGAGAAGCTGAAATTTTCATACATATTTGGTTGGTATGAAATAGATCATTAGATTTATAGAGACCGATTTTTTTAAACAAAGCGTGCGGTGCTTCTGCCATGACGATCACTATCTAACAGCGTCAACAAAAGAGCATCGAAACTATTTGGCACTCCAAAAAGAAGCATCGCGTTTTACCTGAAGAAATGCATTATGCTACCTGAAATGTGTGTTTTATCGAGAAACTACGAAACAAGATGTTCTTAGTGTTGTGCAATATGCTGATAAATATATGTAAATCGTCTATATATCGGAATCGATTAGGTGAGATTTCAATATGTACCTATTATTAAGAACAGCAGAGTATTATTCAAAACAAGTTTGATCTAAAAATAATCTAAAAATTTTCAACAGAGCGTATACAGATTACAGCTTTCATGAAAAATGTCCACAAGAGTAAAATAATTATAGTTTTTCAAGGAAATGTAACAGTTTCAGGAAGTTTTGAATGATTACGTATACTGCCACTATCTACGGAAGGGCAGAAGGGCAATATATTTTTATAATAAATTGATGTATGTAGCCGTCACTACGTGGTAGGAAATCATGATGAAGAAAAGAGAAATGAAACTTTCTATGTTTTTCACCACTTTTATTCGTAACTAACGTTACTACAATTCCGCCCTAGTTAGTTACATACAAAGTTTTATTTCTCTTTTCTTCATTGTACTTTTATAATTTGTTTTTTGGAAATTTCGACTTCAATCTCGAAATTTCCAGTTTGAAGTCAAAATTTCAATTATTGTAAATCTAAGATAGCCCTAGCTACAAAATGGCGAATTACATATTAACTTGTAATAGTGAGGCACTTAATGAATTGAAAAGAATAAGAAGAATTGAGTAACAAAATTAGAAATTAAAAATAAAATGAGTACAAAAAATTTCATGTTGAACGATGATATTAAAAAAAAAAAGATGTAGATAAGGTACTAAAAATCAAAAAATAAGTCGGAAGGTCGTAGGTAGCCGTCATCACATCACTCTCCTCACCAACCTATGGATTTGATCATGGTTAAAACAATAATAAAATCGTTGGGCGTAGTATTTACATATTCTATCTGATCAACGTATGATGACTGCTACCTAGGACCTTCCGAATTATTTTTCATTTTTTAGTGCAATATCTACAACACTTTTATTTTTTTTCAGTAAAACCGTTTAACATAAAAGTTATTATTGAGGATATTTCTTAAAATTTATAATATCTGCAATACACGAACCTCTCTATTTACTTTCAAACTATTCGTTTGAGCAACTTGGCTCAGATCGTAAAGTACCCTGCGTGAAATTATGAATCGAATACACCTCAGCCATATTTTTATATGAAGACGACAGGGCCGTCGCCATGGGGGGATGGGGGGAGCCCCCCCTGCTTTTTCGACTTGGGGAAAAAGTTGGTAAATTTTGGGCAGTGAAGATAGAAAAAAATAGTAGTAAAAAAATGAATGAAAATGAAAAAAATAAAAATGAGAGAAAAGAAAGGGAGAGGTAATAAGAAAAGGGAAAGAACCGGGACAAGGTTGGGATTTCCCAACATGCATAACTTGGAGATACCATACTTTCAAATTCCGAGTTGTTTGAAAACTTCAAAAAAGTTTAATTTCTCCCAAGTAAGAGAATAGTCCTGAACAGTCCACAAATTTTGAAGTGACAATTTTACAAAATTCCCAACTTTTCGCTGTTTTTTCGACTTAGAAAAGTTGTGGAATTTCGGGCCGTGAAAATAGAAAAACTAATAGTAGAAAACGATAAGCACAATATTATTTAAGTGCTGTTTCCTTTAATTTGTATTGAATATTCCTATACATGGTGGATATGGTGGAAGACCAAGGACCTTGGTCCAGAGTAGAATAATTCCCATTATTATTTATATAATTACCAAAATTTATTTTTGTTTGTGCATACTCTAACGGGCATAAGCATTCAGCCAATCTTTGGATAGCTAAGTAAGAAAATCAATATATTATAGTAGTAACTAATCCCTCGGCTTTCATTTTTTCGAAAGTTGCAAAATTTTGCTGGTGGAGTTGGGAA